TAGGCCGCATGGGTGATGCAGTCAACGTCATTGATGAGTCTCAATGTCAGCTACATAAAACGTTTTAAATGCAAGAGAACTACCGTTCGAATTATTCTTCATCTTTTTCATGTACTTTACTGAGATTAATGTTGTGTAGGCATGTGCGGTTTTAAAGTGCCTGCGAAAAGTTTTAATTGGTCGAGCCATTTTTATCTATTGGGCGGACAAGCTTCTGCCCGGCGCTCCAAGCAATCCTAACGAATATTTTGCATTGCCATAAGCCTCTTAACGCCAAAAAAGGAAGAAACTTTGGCGACGAGTAAAACCACTGGGCGGAAAGAGCCATAGCAATGAGTTGGAGCTGGTTTGCGACTGTTGCACAAAATAAGCTGTGCATGATTTAAACAGTGAAGAGAATATGAGGATGTCAAACCCCTCACATTGTTTGTCCAATTTGCCCGAAGAAAAGGTAGCGTTGATGACAGTCTCACTTTTGCAAGTGAAGGCGTATTGTTGTTGGTTTGACAAATTCGAATTGTTAATAGACCTCCAAGTGTGGATAGGTGCACTAAGAGCTAATTCTTCTCTGAAATGGAATGCGTCTGACAAGCAGACTTTAATCCACTTTAGACAAGAGTGACCTGAATGGGGTGGAATTTACAGCTACACATTACTCGCCTCATCATGGGGCAAATTTCCATTTACGATTTCCTAATGATTGTCAAGGCATGAATGATTGGCAGTGGATTGGCGGTGTACCAAAGGTGGCCTTTGTGTTATTGGGCTACTCAAACTAACACTTGGTTATTTATGCATTTCCCGCCAAGTAAGGACAACAAAATAAACAATAACTTAAGCGTTGACTGTCCCAAGAGCAAATTATAAGACAAATTTTTCCCTTACTTTCTCATCACGACAAAAGCCTTTTAAGCATGGCCTTAATGTTACGGATTCCACGGCACCTCTTGCCGCAAGTCTACACTTAAGCGCGAGCTTTGAAACAATGAAAATTTTAACAACTGAATCGAAAAGCAATGTGCATGAAAAACAACATAATTTATGCTTAAGATTCCCGGAGGGCAAAAATTTAAGTGAGCACTACACAATCACCTTCACTGCCTCCATCAATAAAAGAGACAATTTTACTTTCAATCGGTGGACAGGAAATCATTGCACTACCTTACAAATGCGTGCAAACGCGAAGATGCAGAAGGGAAGGAACGACAATGAGGGAAAGTTGGCATAGCATTTACTATATATTCTGCGTCGAACATAAGAATAATAATAACGACACATGTAGTAATCATTAAAGCGAGGAAAGAAAAACCACAGAGGTTATGCGTGTGGGAAGCACGTGTGCACACGCACGCACGTGCAGAGAGCGGGAGACTAAACATGAGGGCCCCTCTCCTCTGGGGAGAGGCGAATCCACGCTTGAGTTGGTGGAGCAGGCGGACCCATTTCGGGAAGATGCGAAGTACATCTCCTCTTTCAAACAACTTTCCAAATAAGCTTGGATGCTTGATTGCATGTTGGAAATGTTTTGACATACCTTTTTTCCTTGCAATTTTTTTTTGTTTCTTTTTTGTTGAAAGTGGAACGGTAAAGTAAGTGGGATGCTTTTTGGGTATAAATGAACATAGAAGATATAAAAGAGAGCTAGAAACCGTTTAGTTTAGAAGATGGTCCATTTCACCGTGCAGAACGGCCAAAGCTGCTGAAGCCTCACTGTCCCAAGGTTTTATGCCCTGGCATAGAAGCTCCTCCACCTCGTCGTCAGTGAAACCGCAATTCAAATCCAACTTCGTTGGTGAGGCAATTTGACGGACAGCTTGCGAGATCGACCGCGACCCAGGCCGGTCGAAGTGACGATGCCCTAAGTTGGGCGGTTTGCTCCGGTTTGTCGACAGCAATCCACCACGAAAGCTTCTCCCATTCGTCCGACCGAATCTGTTAAAATTTCCCCTTCCACCAGCGTCCATGTCCCCACGGGGACAAGGGAGTACAGTCGCGCTGTTAGTGTTATTCGAATTCGCCTGCCTTTTGGTGGAAATTGTGGAGTTTTGCGATTCCATGTTGTCTTGTATTTGCTCATTTTTTGCATTATGCGAAGAACATGCAGTGGGGTGGTCGCCTGATGCACCTGCAACGTGGATTTCCGATTCAGTCACAATCTCATTATTATTTTCTGCATCTTCAACCCCACCAACGTCTGGCTTTTCGACCTCCTCTTGGGTACCTTCCTCCGCAGCTACCTCATCCACAGGCTGTCCATTTTCATCAACGTTGGGGAAGACTAAACGGGGAGGTGTGGAAGCTGGATGATCTCCATTTGTTTCGGGAAACGGTTGCTGCTGATTCTGTTGCTGAATTGAGCTACGAAAAGTGCGATAACCAAAGCGTCCATTGAGGCAAGAAGGAGATGGCGGGAGGAATGGAAAACAGTTGGAACCACTAGTGAGAGCTGCTCTAGCCATTGCTGCAGCCCCTCCTGCACGACGCAGCATTTGGCGATGAAGATTCTCTATCTTGCGCATCATTTCCCGCTGGTGCAGTCTCCAGGGACTGCTGATTGGCGCTAACCACTGGACCATCGCTGCAGCCGCTACCGCAGCTGCTTCCATCTCTTCCTCCATTGTATGCTGATCAGCCAGGAGGTTTCGTAGATCAGTGCGCAATTTCATTAAGCTAAATAGGCCAAGATCGTGACCTATGAAATGGAAGAAACTTCTGATTAACCGCATAAACGCACAGCAAAAGGTCATAACTACAAATGCTTTCCGATTCACCTGCCATCAGACCTGCTACACTATCGATCCAATCAAGGTGAACCTTCTTTTCCCAGCGTTGAACTTTGGCTCCCTTCGCCTTGTCAGCCATGTGTTGGAAGAGTGACCAGGGCTTCTCGAAGATGAGGATGCATGACTTGCACCAATACATCTGCCCCGGCTCGAGAGCAGCCTTCAGTTTGACGCACTTTACATGATCGCCTTCCTTATCTAGGAAGCACTCGAGGTAGTGGTCCTTAAGTAGGTTACAGTAGCTCTCATTGCCTCTTCTCTCTAATATTTGCTTGCAAGTGCCTTTTGTAAGAACCAGGTGTTTATTATAAGG